CAGGATGGTCTCGATCTCTTGACCTCGTGATCCACCCGCCTCGGCCTCCCACAGTGCTGGGATTACAGGCTTGAGCCACCGCGCCCGGCCGTTGTTCATTGTAAGTTACTCACTCTCAGGTATTCTATTCTAGCAGCACGAAATGGACTAAGACACCAATGAATAGGTTATAATACCTTTTCCAGTTCCCTCATTAATTTAGTGAGTTAAATAAAATCTTTGACATATATTCATTTTATATATGTGTGATTTTACCTTTTTTAAATATACATATAAACAGTATCAATGCCCAACACACACATACAAACTCACATTTTTTTCTTTTTAAGACAGGGTCTCTGTTGCCCAGGCTGGAGTGCAGTGGCATGATCATAGCTCACTGCTGCCTCAAACTCCTGCGGCTCACACAATCCCACTGCCTCAGCTTCCCACATAGCTAGAACTACAGGAACATGCCACCATGTCCAGCTAATTTTTTAATTATTTTAAGAGACACAGTCTCACTCTGTCACCCAGGCTAGTCTCAAACTCCTGGCCTCAAGTGATCTTCTCACCTCTGCCTCCCAAAGTGCTGGGATTACAGGATGAGCCACTTCAATCAAATAAGCGACTTCAGAAGTTGAATTTGATGAAACATCAATCCATTTCAAATTTCTTAAGACTTCCAACAACTGATTAACAATTAATTTACTTGACAAAGGAAAGCCCATAGTAAAACTTTTTAGGAAGAAGAAAAGTCCTGAAGATCCCTCAGGACAAACAGGGCCACAGCTAAAATCCTTCATTCCCCACAGGACAAAGGCCACAGAATACTTAAAGTCAGCCCCTAGGCCCCATATTTAATATGGTCCTTCTCAAAGTTAGACTACAGCTCTATTAAAGATTAGAAAGAATGACCAACAAGTAGAGATTTAAAAAATAAATAATTAAATGTCCCCACAACCACATACCTGTATACTAAAAATGTTTCTGCAGCCTCTCCTACCTACAGATGACTTTATCCAACAACTTTTGTGTTACTGACCTGGTGGAAACTGCTTTTACTAACTCACAGTTCCAAAGTCACTGAATATACCAGGGGCTTGGGCTGTCAGAACAGGGCTTGCACTAGGTCAGGATTCCACCTGTGCCAATGCTCTCAAGAAGGCAACGTGTCTAATAAAGTTGTTTAGCTGCCTCAACAAGCCCCAAAGGCAAGGACTTCACGACAAGTAAATAATACATCACAACACAGAAACATTCAAAATGGCTAAATATCTCGATATATAAAAATCTTCAAGTAATGAAAAAATGTCTTATGTCTGAGTGTGGAAAAACAAACTTTTTCCTCTGCTCTCACACCACAACAATCATCAACACTGAAGACTTCTGTGACCAAATGAATGGGGGTTTCTCCCCATATCTGAAGCAAGCAATCTATCCTGCAGCAGACACCAGCTGGGTATCCTCCAATTCAATTTCAACACCATCTACCTGGAGATACCATCATGTACCACTCATTGAGGGCTCAGTTCCCAAGATTGCCTCCTCCTTCCCATCAAATGCAAGCCCAGGCCTCCAGAACTTCTGACTTTCCAGCTTCAGGCTGGAGTTTCCACAACCCCTTCTTTGGGTTTAATTAACTTGCTAGAGTGGCTCAGAACTCAGGGAAACACATTTACCGGTTTATTATAAAGGCTATGATGAAGGATACAGATTAAGAGATACATAGGGCAAAACATATAGGAAGAGGCACAGAGCTTCCATGCTCTCCAGGCACACCACCCTTCAGGGACCTTCATATGTTCTCTCTCCAGAAGCTTCCAAACCCTGTTCTCTTGAGCCTTTTGGAAAATTTATCAAATAAGCATGATTGGGTTTTGGAAAAGGCCAGGAATTGCAAGGGCCTAGAAATGTGACTGGACAAAAAGGGTACAGATTGACTGGGGAAACCCTGCAAGGGCTGTCTATTCAGATTCTTCACCTGTCTGTACAGCATTCCTTCCTCCAGGTTATGGAAAAGGAACCCTTCTGAGATGGGGATCTTATGACCTACAATAAGACAACACAGGTCACAGAATTTCTTTACAGCCAGCTCCAAGACAGAAAATCACTGGGGAGAGAAAGGAGCAAGTGGAAGGAGGGCATAAGAAGGTATGAGAGAGAGAGAGGTTGTCTTCTGAGGCCTAAAGCACCCCATATATAACAAAAGACTGTAGCAAGGGCTATGGGTGTTATGAACCAGAAGCCATGGGTAAAAACATTGTGTGTGTGTATGTGTGTTTAAAATATCACACTAGTTAGACTTAACCTGATCTTCACACTTGACCTGAAGCTAGGAACTCTAGCTTTACAGTAATTCAATCACCAAATTCCTGGTTACCAAGCTTAGCCATACATTCATGTCACTCACAGCCCCCAGAAAGCAGGTGGCACAGAGACTAACTTGGATGAATCAGAAAAGCTCTGTACAAGGCTCCTTCTTTGCCTTTTGGAAGAGACCAGTAATTGCAAGGGCCTGCCAGGCCTAAAGCTCTTCAACCATGTAATCCCTGAGGCCTTGGAATCAAATGACTGGCCCAGGAATCAGTGCCCTTGCCAAAGCCAACCAGAGGTGACCAAAGGCTGCCTATGATGCAGCCCAACAGCGGAATGCTACCAACCAGGCCCTGCTAGAGGAGTGGCCCCATTCTAATGCGCAATATTAAACCTCATGTATGTGCAACATCAGAACTTCACTCAGCTTGTCGAATGGAGTACCTTTGGAAATACATACTACTTCTGCTAACCAACTAGAATCACTGCGCATCAGCTTCCTCAACCAAGCCAGTCAAAAAACAAAGCCCAGGCTCCAAAGAGAACAAAGGGATGAGGCTACAGATGTTCAGAAGAAAGTATATCTGCACAGCGACCCAACCTAGGTGGCTACACCCCCAGAAACAGACAGAGCTGGGTCCAGAGTGGCTATACAAAGGATTCATCTGAGAACTCTCAGTCTTCCATCCACCCAGACATGGAAGTAGTCACCATATTGGAACAACAATGGACTAGGGAACAGGGAGTGCTACTCCCCAGAAATTCTACACAAAGAGCCTCCAATAACCCCAATACTTTCATATTTGTATCTACATTGCACACAATTGAACAAACATTTACTGGGCAGTCCCCACTGTGACCAACGCTAAATGAAGGTTAACTACCCTCCAGGAGCTTACCGTAAGGCGCTGGAAGAAATGAACACACAGATGACGAGAACGTAAGATACAACATAAAGCACATAAGAGGCAATGAAGTGCTACAGAATTACAGAGAAGAAATCTTCCTCTCCTTAGAATGTTAAGGAAAAACTGAAAGGAGGAAATGACCTTTAAGTCAAACCCTGAAGGGCATACATGATTTTAACAGGTGCCTCCAAAAGGCCAATGTAGATCTCCCCAAAATCACTGCTAACTTCATGAAATGATGTGGTCAGAATCCAGTGTTTTGGGGCTCTAGCCTAAGGTCAGGGCTTGCAGATTTTTATTTAATCAAATACATAACTATAACACAAGTGTCAGGGAGATGTGCCACCAAATATTAATGTAAATTCATTAACAGGACAACTTGGATATTGGGCTTTTCTAATTGTATTCTCATGTGGATTTCATTTGTCCATTAGCTATTCACTTTATGCAGATATTTTGCATTTTCAGCTAATTGTCTCAATTTTACAACTGAGGCACTGAATCCCAAAGGTAGGGTCAAATTAACACATTTTACATTATCTCTGTTAATACCCACAGAAAATCCTATTGCCAACCAGACTTGCAACAAGCGACACCAGAACAGGGCAGGAGTGGAAAGGGTAGAAGGGCACACTGGTACATCCCTTCTACAGAACTGGCTGAGCCACAGGTTACCACACTGGCCACTCCCACTCAAAAAGCCTGTGGTGAAGCTCATACAACATCATCTAAGCAAATTAATTGTGTAGGGCAAAGCATTAACAGATGTAAAGGACTATCATCAGAAAAGAAAAGGGAAATCTAATACCACTTTCTAATAAGTAGAAATGAGATATAAAAAGCCAGTAAGATCAAGGAAACTACACCACAGGGGAGACATACTCCACTAGGCTTCCTTATTATAATTAACATAATTAACTTGATTGGTGACAGCAAAACCACTTGGATTATAAAAACTCCAACAACAGCACCACATCCACCACTTAACAAACAAGTAGGGGCCACGGCCTGACTGAATAACAGCTAAACATCTCTGCAGCCCGGCCTTTGAAAAAAAAAAAAAAAAAAACACAGCATCCTCCAGACTTAGTCCACCCCGCCCTATGGAAAGAAAAAGGTATGAAGCCCCGGCTCTTCCCTTCCCTCCAGTACAGTCAGGGGCCGGTGCGCACCAAGCCAAGAGCCTCCTTCAACTGAAATTTCAAAGTACTAGCAAACCAACTCTCCGCTGGCTTCCGGGTCCGCAAAAAGAAATGAAAACCTCTCCGCAGCCCCAAAGCCCACCATTTTCCATTTGTTGATACGGAGGCCACAAGGCAAGTGCCTCTTAGCCCCCACTACAAGCATCAGACGCCACCAGGCTCCCCTGTGCAAACTGCTCCAGCTGGACAAGTCTTTAGGAAGCTCAAGTATTAGAAGATTTGCCCCTAACCGATTCTACTTCTAAAAGGTCTTTAAGGAGCAGGGAAGAGGAGTCTAAACTCCGGTAAAGTGCACACGCTCTACCCTCTCACTCAGCACCCGCCCTGCCAGGAGCTAGGCGCGTCCCGGCAGTACCCATAAAGCGCAACAGGAGCCCAACACGCCGAGAACATGCACCCCACGCCCCGAGGTGCTCACCCTCACGTGGTTCTCCACAGCCGCGCGACCCGCGAGCTTCTTGGCCTCCTCGGCCTTGGACATCGTTGAGGGGGCCGGGCAGACGCTGTTGGAGTCCCCGCAGCTGGTGCTTGTGTTGCCAGCACCGCCGCGGGTCCCGGACTGTGCACGCCCCGGCAGCCGCACGTGGGAACCTGGGAGGTCCCAGCTGTTCCCTCCTCCGCCTGAGACCGCGCCCCCGGCCCTCCCGGGCAGCGGGGCCAAGACCCGCCCGTAGAGGGTGCTGAAGGGCCCGGGTCGCTGCATCCCGACGCCTCTCTCAGGCCTCCGCTGAGGTCCCGCCCCCGGCTTGTCCGGAAGTCTGGTAACTTACGTACACAGTCTGTGTGCCCTGCTCCGTGGGCCTTGCTGGGAAATGCAGTTCTATGGCTTCAGCGACCTGTATCCGCGCCTCAGTCTGGACTACCAAACCCATAATGCTCTCCGCGACCGGATGCGCAATTGCAGGCGACGGCCGCTGGCGCGTCGCTCTATAAAGTACGCTTAGCCGCGGGAAGAGGCGTTTGGGACTCCTTACTCGAGGGATGTGTGCTTACGTGACCGTTAGGTGAATCCAGGGATGTTTTATCATCCGAGAAAGGAGTGTTAGACTTGACCTTGTTGTTTCTCCCAGCAGTGAGAACGTGGCCATGGACTAGACCTCAGAGTAGTGGCTCTTCTGTAGACGACGCGGCGCTTTGGAGGCGACTACTCCCTAGGAAACGCACATGCGACACCAGCGCCAGCTGAAGTCCATCTAGACCAGTACAGGCCCAAGGTCACAAGTTGAGAAGCAACCCCTGCCGTAGACACTCTTTTGCACCTGTGGTAGAGCAGGTGGAGCTGCACATTGCTCCACCCATTACAAGGACTTTCTGTGAAAACATATTTCTCTTTTATTCTCTACCTTTAAGGTTTCTTGCTGTTGAGAATAATTAAGGGATGAGGAATTTTTACTGCCCCCATTTTGCAGAAGAAACTAATGCTGACCCCAACCTTACCGACCACCTGGAGGCCCATACAAACATGTGATCTTTATGTTTCTCAGCTGTTAGTGGAATCCTTTATGTCTGTTCATGAACTCATCTTCAAATGCATTCCAGGCCTTCAGAACTCACGTGTGCAAGTCCCTGGTATGGGCCACTGTTACTGCCACTTATCACCTAGATTTTCTAACTATGATTTTCTAACTATGCTATGCCCCCTGAGGCCGGGAGCTCCTGAATCTTCACTTTTGTCTGTAGGAGGAAAAACTGTTTGAGATAACATTTGAATATTTGAATCTCAGCACTTTGGGAGGCCATGGCAGTTGGATCACCTGAGGTCAGGAGTTTGAGACCAGCCTGGCCAACGTGGTGAAACCCCATCTCTACTAAAAATATAAAATTAGCTGGGTGTGGTGGCACATGCCTGTAGTGCCAGCTACTCAGGAGGCTGAGACAGGAAAATCGCTTGAACTGGGAGGTGGAGGCTGCAGTGAGCTGAGATCGCACCACTGTACTTCAGCCTGGTGAGACAGGGTGAGACTCCATCTCAAAAAAAAAGTGGATACTGTTATTCCCATTGGCATAAAAGAAGTCCTCACTTACTCAAGGTCACACTGCTTATAAGCAAAGCTGGGATACAAACCTTCAGTGATTCTAGGACCAAACCCTGATCTAATAGAATTACCTAGATGGGGATTTATTAATTGCCCCACCACATCACCAATATAGCACGAACTTTGTATAAGCCACACATGTAATGCCTTTTCTCTTTAAAGCCACAAGTAATAGCAGTAAATCTTAAGACAAAATGGTTAAGAAGGGGAAAAAAACTATAAATGAGGAAGTACTAAATGAAGGTAAGTACACAGGTTTTGGATGATGGACTAGATTCAGGGTCTGACAAAAGTAAGATCAATCTACTTTATAAGTTAATCCACTAAAAAGCCTTTTTTCTTCTTTTTCTTTGAGTCTTGCTCTGTTGCCCAGGCTGGAGTGCAGTGGTGTGATCTCGGCTCATGCAACCTCTGCCTCCTAGATTGAGATTCTCTTGCCTCGGCTTCTCAAGTAGCTGGGACTACAGTCATGTGCCACCACACCCGGCTAATTTTTTGTGTTTTTAATAGAGACAGCGTTTCACCATATTAGCCAGGATGGTCTCAATCTCATGATCCATGCACTTCAGCCTCCCAAAGTGCTGAGAGCCACAGTGCCCAGCCAAAAAGCCTTTTTTTAAATTACAAGGACAAGGACCATACTAATCTCTGTGTCCAGTTTTAGTTTATGTGCTCCCAAAGCGAGGACTAACAAGTCTTTTTTTTTTTTTTAACTAGATTGCACTAGAAAGAACCATGTGGGGTTTATTCTTCCCTCTTTCATGAAACCTAATGAAATTAGGTTGTGATTCCAAGAAACTCCTGGAAAAGAGTTCTCAGGGCCAGAATGAAGGATCCTAGAGGACAGAGCCCACCATCCTGCCCTATTGATAATGGTGAGAGGTAGAGCCTGGGCCTGCATGGGCTTTAGGTATCCACTCCCCTGATAGCCCTAGTGTGGTCCAGTCTGAGAGGAAACAGAGGCAATGGGCACCATGGCACTTCACTTAATGCTGGTGTATTAGTCCATTTTTGTGCTGCTGATAAAGATATACCCAAGACTGGGCAATTTAGAAAAGAAAGAGGTTTAATGAACTTACAGTTCCACATAGCTGGAGAAGCCTCACAATCATGGCAGAAGACAAGAAGGAGCAATTCACGTCTTACATGGATGGTGGCAGGCAAAGAAAGCTTGTGGAAGGAAACTCCCATTGTTAAAACCATTCAATCTCCTGAAACATTCACTACCACAAGGACAGCACAGAAAATACCCACCCCCAAAATTTGATTATCTGCCACCAGTTTCCCCACCAAAATATTTGGGAATTATGGGAGCTACAAGATGAGATTTGGGTTTGGACACAGAGCAAACCATATCAGCTGGAATGTAGGCACCACCGGGAAGATACACAGCCATCATTGTGTGCCTGCCAAGGCTTCAGTGAAACAAGAAACACTCTTACTTTCCACTTCCTCACCTCCATTTTCTCTCCCTTCCCACTCTTACTTTCTTCAAAGTTTGTACATTTTGAAGGTGATTTCCATGGAAGACTGTACAGAGCTACAAACTAGATGTTGAAATGGATTTGAAGATCCTGCCAGAGGCTGAAAATAAAATGCTGACTCAGATATAGCTCAGAGTCGAGTTTGGCTCCCCCCTACTTTCATTCAGCAGTTTCACTCTTTTAGATATAGCAACCCAACTTGACACCCTCCACTCTCACACTCTTAGAATGACCCTTTGGAGCCTCCATTTTTGGCCTGCCTTGCTCCATCCCCTTTTCAGAAGGGCAAGTTTATTGTCTACTAGAAATCTTGACTAAGGCCTTAGAAGACGACTAGACCTTACTTACAGTGGTCTAGTGCTCAAAACAAGCCATTGTTAATACATCAGTGTTACTACCTTGCTATGCATGTAACACTGGAAAGCAGCATAAAACAGTCCATTTACCAAAACCAAATTTTATTGCTAGTTGACCAACACCATGTGGTCCTGAGAAAAGTGTGTCTAGAACAATTTCTTACTGCTGTGTAAAACTATTCCCTACTTAAGGATCACCTGCCTTTTGACATCTTTACACCAGTGATTGTCAACTTGGAATGATTTTTGCCCTCCCCTCATGGGGATATTTGACAATGTCTGGACACATTTTTCATTGTCACAAGCGTGAAAATGCTGCTAGCATCTAATGGGTCAGAGCCAAGGATACTGCTAAACATCCTACAGTGCACAGATAGCCACACACAAAAAGAATTTTCCCAACCAAAGTGTCAATAGTGCTGACACTGAGAAAATGCCTTAAAGAATCTTCAGGTAGGATTATGCGAGAGGCTCTGTTAGCAGTGGTGAATCCATATGGATGTGCAGCAACCTCAATTCTTGCCTCCGCAGAAGAAAGGATTCAGCCAAGGGACATTAGGCAATAGGAAAGACCAGGTCAAGTTTTAGAGCAGGAATAAAAGTTTGTTTAAAAGCTTTAGAGAAAGAACAAAAGGAAGGAAAGTCCACTTGGAAGAGGGCCAAGGAGGCAACTTGAAAGACAAGTGCATGGTTTGACTTTTTGACTTAGCACTTTATATGTTGACAAACTTCCAAGGATTGCATTTTTTCCCTCCCTAATTCTTTCTTTGGGATGGGCTGTCTGTGTGTGCAGTTGCCTACCAGCCCTGGGGAGGGGAGCATGCATGATGTGTTTACGGGAGTTGTATACATGCTCATTTGAGGTGTTCTTCCCTTATCAGTTGAATGTCCCTAGGAGGCTATATACCAGTTCAACTTCACCATTTTGCCTCTTAATGCACATGCTTGAGCCCACTTCTGCAACTCCAGAGATCTTATTGGGAAGCTGCTGATTACTAGTTTCAGGTTTTTTCTATCTTTTGGGAGACTGCTTTTCTCTGTCACTGGCAGCAATCAATTATTATTTTAGAGAGGCAGTTAGCAGCTGCCTGATCATCAGCTGATGGTCACCTGACATTTGTTGTAGGGAGTTGGGGGAGCCCTCTCCAGCCCTGCTCATGCCTGACTAGCTACCCACTGTAGAATTTCTCCCCTCAAGATTCCAAGACCCCAATTATTTGGGGAAAATAATCAGTCTTCTGTAACTCCCTCCTGCTGACAGAGGGCCAATGATAGTTGTTTTGTGGGTCTTTGCCTCTTGCTAGTTTTCAGGGCAGGAGTGTGGCTCTATGGGTTGATAAAAGCAGTATCCAGCCAGGTCCAAGGGAGGCAGGGGCAGAAATTTATCTTTGTCGTGTATCCCTGATGGATAGTCCAGGAGTACCCCGTAAGAGGGTGACTCTTGAATATGGAGAGGATGGTATTCCTCTCCGAAGATTATCTGGAGCTTGATGGGCTGAAGGTGAAAATAGACAAATTGAGTTATTAGATTTAGTAGAATATTAAAATGAAATAAGGAGGTGAGGACAGCTCCAAAAAATCCCAAGCCTGTGGCATGCTCATGTAGCTGGTGGCCGTAGTCATGCCTGCTAAGAATTGAGTTTACTGGGTTTCTGGCCAATTCAAGTATGTGCCCAGAATTAGAATATTGATCCAGATTTTTATGTTACTCATCCCTTTTGTTTCTTCTGAGCTGCAGCCAGAGATCACTAGTTGGTTCACAGGAATGAGGGTTAGTCAAAATTGCAGTCAAAAACTCAAAAACAGCTGACGAGACTATAATCTAAGAACAAGTATACCATAGTTTTTGAAACATAATTTGCCAGGCATGA